GGTCGGGGGGGGGGGCAGGATGTGGGCAGGCAGAGCAGGTGAAACAATTATTCTGCAGCCATTATAGACATATATGTACATAGATGAAAGCAGAAGAGCTCTCAGACAGGAAGACGAGACTCGGGTGTATCATGTTTATAGAGAGCGGGACAACCAATCAGAATTCATCCTCCTGACTGCTCTGCGTCGTTAAAAGGTGGTCGGCGGCAGGCTTCTTTCACATCATCACTCGATGGGGGTTAATTCACTGAACCGTACGACGGCAATTTTATATGTTTTTCCTTGCAGCAATTTTCTTACCAAAATTTTCAATTCACTTAAAAGTTCATCTAAAGGCAAAAATTCTTCTCTTAGTTTTGGATGGGGGTCGGGTTGGGTGACAACCCTTGTCAGGTTTTTGTCCCCGCTGTGGATATTATTTACCCTCTCTGCTTGTTCTGGTGACCCTTGTCACTGGGTACCGAATGTTTGGGAACATTTTTTTGAGTTGTCACCTCAACAGAAATTCTACCCGCGTGGACACCAGTCCCAGTGACAAGGTTATAGTCCATGATACACAATGCACAGAGCAAGCTAAGTGACACCCAGGGTTAGAGTTTTGAGGGTTGGGGGTTAGAGTTTTGAGTTGTCACCAGAACAGGAATAGAGGGAAATCTTCCAATAGGGGGGGGGGGGGGTGTCACCTGTTTTGGTGACAACTGTCTACCAGGGCAATTGTTCATGATATACAATGCACAGAGCAAACTAAGTGTCATCCAAGTACGGTGTTCCAGAGTCGGGGTTAGAGTTTCCTGCTCATTGGGAGTTTTCTTCTCACTTCCTGTTGTGTCTACAACACAGGAAGTCAAGGGAAATCTTCCCAATGGGGAAGGGGGTGTCACATGGTACTCCATACAAGTACCAGGATCCTGGTGGCGGGGAAGGGAAGGTCAACACTGATTCTTCACTGTTCTGTAAAGAGAACCTGTCGCCCATTACGGGTCACCCTATCACATACACGACCCATTCTTATAATTAAATCTTTTAAGGGGGGAATTATTCATCTGTGGAAATCAGTGAGCCAATCAGTGAGCCTCCCTTACATTCCATCCATTAGATTTCCAATGGAACTTTGATTTTCCTGAAGTTCTCATAATCAACGCCGCCCGCCGTCTGTACGCGCCGTCACGCCGTCCACTCTCCAGGCCGACGGTCCGCGTCATCCCATCCGTGATCCACGTGAGTAGTATCACCCGGGGTGCCGCTCTCTGCGAATCTGCCGCTCCAGGCAAACGCCTTGTTTGCCTCGCGGCAGATACGCCCCTGTTTCTGGTGTCACCAGGGCCGGATTTACAGTTTCTGCTGCCCCAAGGCCAGGTTCTTCAATATGCCCCCATACCTACCAGGCAACACTCCCCCCATGGAGAATGGCAGACCTGCAGGCTGCATACCAGTGATCTCTCGGCGAGATCACTTGGACCAAACAAGCTTCGGCTTCCCCGCTCTTCATTTAGCTCTGCTTGGCCAAAGCCGGGCTACATGTAGAAAACAACTCCCCGCCCGGCGCCCTGGAACTGCATGTCCCGCGCATCGGGAGATAGGAATTGCACACCCCTGCTGCCCCTCTACTCCCTGCTGCCCCGAGGCCGGACCTCGGTTGGCCTTGTGGGAAATCCGGGCCTGGGTGTCACCTTTATGTTCTCTTCTTTCTCTATTATGCACCTTTCCTCCTTTTTGTTATCTCTTGCTCCCGATAACACGTATTTCTCTCCTCCGTCCTCACTATAGAAGTCCCTACCTACTCCTCCGCCCTTACTATAGAAGTCCCTACCTACTCCTCCGCCCTCACTATAGAAGTCCCTACCTACTCCTCCGCCCTTACTATAGAAGTCCCTACCTACTCCTCCATCCTTACTATAGAAGTCCCTACCTACTCCTCCGTCCTCACTGTAGAAGTCACTACCTACTCCTCCGTCCTCACTATAGAAGTCCCTACCTACTCCTCCGCCCTCACTATAGAAGTCCCTACCTACTCCTCCGCCTTTACTATAGAAGTCCCTACCTACTCCTCCGTCCTTACTATAGAAGTCCCTACCTACTCCTCCGTCCTCACTATAGAAGTCCCTACCTACTCCTCCGTCACTCACTCCTCTTCCCATATCACAGCAGCCATCAGCAGAAGTATAACTGCATAGAGCTCTGTCATTTGTTCCCACCATGTTTCACCACCTGCGTGTCTTCATCGGGGGGATAAGGAGCTCATGGGCAGTGACAACATGTCACAGTGGCAAGTGCGGGTTCACTTTAAGGTTGTCCATTAAATCTTTACCTACAGAAATGATGGTACACAACAGACGAGGATGTCACCGCCGCTGTGACCCGTATACCCCCGGGGGGGGGCTATTGAAGGATGCCGGTCACACACGGTGCAATCAGAACTTTTGATGTGGCCAGGGTGGTAGCCGGAGTTCATAAACTTTCATTCCTCATTGATGTATCTAAAGTCGTAATGTTACATTTTTGTTTTCAAGGTTTAGATACACTTTAAAAAACATTGTAAAAAGGAACAGAGTT